TTTGCTGTTTGCTCTGCTTGTGCCCTTCAGTTGATGGTTGCATCATGGTCTCTGTTCCACAGTTGTCCTACAGCTTTCATTCCATACCTGAACTTTTTTTCCCCCCCCAGGCAGCCATATAGTTGCACTTTATCCTTTCAAACTGCTTCTCCTGGTGTTCTGCTTTTGACTGGCTGTCCAGCCCTGACCTTTGCTCTGTGGCTCCTCTCCTCTTTGTTCTTTCTAGTTACTAACATTAACTAAGTTGGGTTTCAGTGTTTGAATGGATGTGTAACGGAGCAAACAATCAAAAAGTTTTGGTTTAAATTCTTCCCAGCTGCCTGAGATGATTAAGGTTTCCCCTCTGCTTAATGCTACAGTAGACAGCACAATTTCTCCTGTTAAGTTGTGTACCCCAAGAACTGGGAAAAATGCTCTTTATTCCTATGCTTGTGTATTTACTTGTTTACACTGAATCCCTTTAGTGTAAGGCATTTCCTGGCTCTTAGTATTTTGTGCCTTGATATCTGGGTTTTTTTAAAGTGTTTTCAAGCCAAGGACTCCTAAAAATAAAATAATAAAGCTTGTGGTGGACTGTAGACAGCTATATTTGTAGTGAATTCAAATTTACCATAAGCTTTTCAAGTCTTAGTTGCCTTTGGTTACGTTTTAGGAAAGGAACTCTTGGGAGATCACAACTTGAAAGTCACCGATTTAGATCATGTATGTTCTGAAACTGTCTTGCCCCTTCAGTTTTGTGATGTTAGGAGCACAAATGATTCTGCACCTATACTAATCCCCTTTTTCTTTTTTCTTTTTTTGCCTCTTGACAGACAGTTCTTCAATTTACTTTCAAGAGAATCCAATAAAGGAAAAAGCAAAAGCTTACGACAGTAACGAACCTGAGAAGCCAGCAGGGCATCAACCATATATTAATACAGCATTAAGAGGTAACAACACTAAGTTTTATTGGTACCTTTTCCATGCTGTAACAAACGATTGCCTAAATGCACTAGGATGATATTCTCTCGGTTCTGTATCAAAAGGGGGAGTTGTTGAGTTAGAATTGGAATGGATGAAGAAGGCAGAGCCTTAAGGTTTTCAAAAGAGCAGTTTTATACTTTGATAAATGCCTAGCAGTGCATCTTTTTGAGAAGCAAAACAAAAAGATGAGTAATGTCATACCTGCTTCAAAAAGTCTTCTAAGAACAGACCTTTCACTGCCTCAGGCAAAGAAAAAACCCCTCTTCTTTTTCTAAAAAGAGTTACTTTTGACTTTAGCAGAGACAGCTGCCAATACCAAGGGGTTTCAAAGTCAGGAGCACTTTTTCTGTTGGTTGCTCAAGAGGTTTTTCTAAATGTGTGGTACAGAAGCAATAGGGAAATACAATGAGGAAGAAAATACAGGATACTTGTTAGCCCAGCAGAAGGTAGTTGTGTTATTACAGGTGGTTTGAATACATCCAAATACATCAGCATTACTGGATTGTTACTTTTTAAAAGAAAAAACAGGATAGTTTTGTCATGTTGGGAAGAGCAGGGTGGCAGGCCAAATTAAGCCCTTTCTATTAATAATAGTAGCTTTCTCCATTTACAGAGGGATCCAAGAGGGTGTTATATGGCACAAGCTTGGTTTGGCAGCACAGCATATACTCCTTCCTTAATCACCTTTGAAGATTTCATAGGAAGAGCTAAAAATATATATGGCTTGTCTTGCCTCATTCTGACCTCAAATGTGATAACCAAGTTCTTTCACTTTGGTTTCAGAGAGAAAGGCTAACTTCCTCGAGAAAAATCAGGAGCACCACTCATCTGCATCACAGAGTAAGTTGAAAAATAAAGTCTTTGATTGTAATGAAGTGAAAAGTACAGAATTCTTTTCCTTTCCTTATGGTTTTTCTTGTGCCATGGGACACTGTCTAGATAGGTGGAAAAGGATGAGTTACCCAGGAGGCAGATCCCAGTGGAAGACTTCATTTATTTTCCCTTTTGTAACTGGTTGAGGAAATGGAGTTGATTTGTGGAACAGTCAGAGCATGCACTAATGGTGATGTGGGGGTCAGCTGAGGAAGGAAACAAAGCCTTCACCTTTTGGTAGCAGTGAATGTTAGACTGGTTTGTACACACCCCCTTCCCTTCTAGCCTTTCCCAGAGCAGTAGTGACCTGCTATGATTGAATTAGTTGCTGCATGCACCTGGAGAAGAGAAGCAGTGTTTTTCTCTGCTGGAAAACTCCATTCTGCTTGTGTCATGACCAATTTCTTGTGTTCAGGTTTTTGTACTTCGTTGTTTGTGGGGTTTTTTGGTGAATTTGTTAGGTTTTGTTTTGTTTTGTTTTTCATCTTTTAAGAGTACTTGAAAGACAAAGGAAAGAAAAACAACTCTGAATTCTTAGTAGCTTTCTGTCCTTAATGTCTCAGTGCTTGTTTCTATCCTGAGCAGATGTAGCTTAACCAAGTTTTGTAAATCAGAATTCAATCTGGAGAACTTAGAGAGGCTTGTTGGCTGTCTTGTTTGTTTTTTTAAAACCACAGTGCCTTCCGGAAGAGAAGCTCATCTTGTGGTAGCTGCACAGCTGTGAAGCTGTGAAATGCCTGTGAAAAAGGAATTAATGCAGGGAGCTCTTGTTAGTTCTGGTGCCATTTCTTCCCTGTGCCAGGGGAGTAATATGTGGTGCAGAAGTGACCAGTTGTGTTGGGTGAAGAACTTCACAAAGTCACTTTCAACTCTAAAAGCTCCAAGTTGTCTGCAGAAGTTACACCTTTCGAGTTAGGCAAGGAAATAATTTGTTTGGCCTTTGTGCAAGTTGTGTTATAAATAAGGGAGAATTCTTAGGTAGGAGAGGATCTGGTTTTAGACTGTTAATTGAAATCTTTTTTTCCGTTAGGGTATGAATCACAGCCTAAATATGAAACCTAGTCTTTGCAAACACAGCTACATTGTAAAATATTACAGAATGGAAGTGATTTTGATCTGTTGAACCATTAGAAGACTTACATAAGCTTAGCCAGTCACAAGCCCCATGTCTGTGCCCTGTCAGGGCAGGAGGTTGAACTTACAGAATAGTGTAGCTTCTTAAGCTAGTTAAGCTCTGGCTTTAACTAGAGCTGCTTTTAGCACCTTCTGTGATTACACTGATACAGAAAGAAGGCTGCAGAATTTATTCTAGTGTTCTTGAAATAACTACTGCAGGGTGGGTGGGTTTGATCAGTTGATTCTCAATAGTACCATTGACAGTATCCTGATTTGGTTATGAATTATTGTATATTCAGAGCCTTCAGCTCTGAACCAGTTGCTGTAGTTCACAAGGAGCCAGAAATTCTTGTGTCTTTTTAATTAACTGACTAAATGCAGAAAACATGCTGACCAGTAATTGCACTGTTTATATTTATTCTGGTCTCTTGGGAAAGTTGTTCATAACACTCTTTTATGGGTAATGGCTTTTGTACTTTGCTGTCTGAGCCTATTTAAGTAAGAAGACCAAAAGGATATTTTGAAGTTGAAAGCTTGCATTTTGCTATAAAAGCACAATTCCTCCCAAGAAACCAACTGCTGATGAAGCAGCCTCTGACCCAAGCTAGATGAGACTATGCCTTTAACATTTTGCTTTTCCTACTTGTGTCACATTGTTTTTCTAATGTGTGTTTATCGAGCTTCCATTTTTCTGTCCCTCAAATTCTTGTGCAAAATCAGGAAACTTAGCTGAGACATGGGATCCTTGTGCTTCAGAAGGTGTTATCTATGGGTGCTTTAACCTCCCTGTAAAAGTCATAGAATTTTTTATGTGAAAGTGTAACAGAGAACAGCTTTTTGATTAAAATAACACCATTTGGTGATTTCAATTCCCTGCCAGAAGATTGGTCATAATTGTTGTCTTAGTATTTTTCTTATGTTCCTTTTTTTACCTCTTAACAGGCAGAAATAAATTTCCAGATCAGCCTGATATTGGGAAGCAGTCACAGCCTGTGGCCAAAAGTAAGACTTCTGCTTTCACTTCTGTTTCATGCTTGTCTTACATTTAACCATTTCAAAGCCTGTCCAAGTATTAGATTTCCTGGTAGCTAGTGTTAAACTGAGAGTCCTTGCCAGAAGAGATGACTTGCTTGCCTAGAGTATTTGTTTTCAGCACAAAGGAAGGAAGGGTGTTGTAGAATAGGTAACTTTTTCACCCTAAGGTCTTCCATCTGTAGCATTTCCAAAGTTTGTTGCAAGATTAAAACTCAGGCAGGCCTAGTGGTGTTCTTATGTAACAGTTGTTGTGTTGCTGTCCTGATGCTACTTGTTTTTTTCCAGTTTACAGGGAGGTCACTAATTTTCCTGGGGACAGAATTGAGCCTTATGCTTGTAGTAGGTCAAGCAAGTGTTAAATTAACTGCTCAAATACCTAATCAAAATACCTGATGTTCTTTATTCTTCATGTGCATTGTTTGCTGGGAGTACTCTTTGTGAAGCTGACTGATCCAAAGACCACAAACGTTGTCTGGTAGTGTTGATCACCAGTGTCTGAGGCACAAGTACTGCTGCAGACACTATTTTTGTGGGAATAGGGAGGAGAAACAACACAGAAACCATTCTGGTGATGTCAGGTTTTGTACAGGGCTTTTTCTGCAGAGCCTAAATGTAGGAAAAAGCTTGACCTTTTTCAGAACCATGTTAAGCTCTTAGCTTGGATATGATTAAACAGAGTGAAGTATTGATAAACTTTCAGAAGAGCTCCTTTTCCAGAAGAATGTCCAATTTCTTAGTCAATCTGGAAATAAGTAAAAATGTCCCTTTTTAATGCTGTCACTTCACAAAGTTGCTAAAGAAGTTGAAAGTTTTGCTTTTTTGTTTAAACTAGAACATCTTTATGCTCTTCAACTTACCCTACCAGTAGCTTGAGAGTGAGACAAGTTCACTGGGTTTTACTGTTTCTTCTCATCTTCTTCTCAATTGTTGGCTTCTGATTGCTGACATTGTTTTCTTCCTGTTTGCTCCTCCTTTCTACAGATAATGGTGAACTGCAGAATGGGTTTAACAATATGTGGACTTGGTTCCTGGTTGTGTCAGCTTGTGTCCTGTTGGCTTACGTCCTGTGGAGTGGAATGTTAAGTCTTCCAGGCACAAGTTTGTCAAGTAGAGATACTGAAATTCTGCAAGCGTTCCGGGCCCAGATGAATAAACTAAAAAACACTTACCAAAGTCAGGATCCCAACCTGTGGAGAAGAACTCGTGTGCTTCTTGAGAAACATCTGAATGCCTCTCACCTGCGTTTGGAGCCGGCCATCTTGCTGCTCACAGCTGGCCGGGAGGCTGAGAAGGCTCTGAGCTGCCTGAGTAACGAGATTGCTGACGCTTTTGCCATCTCCCAGAACGCTACGACCATCAAAATCAACGGGGCAGACAAGGCCATACTGGATAGTGACATTGTCAAGCTGGAGGTGGATAAAGAGCTCAGCTCTGGGTTCAGAGAGGGCAAGAAGGTGGCGGTGGTGCATCGGTTTGAGTTACTGCCTGCAGGCTCCACCTTAATCTTTTACAAGTACTGTGACCACGAAAATGCAGCATTTAAGGATGTGGCTCTTCTGCTGACTGTGTTGCTAGATGATCAGTCACTGAGAAAGAGCCTCACCTTGCAAGAAGTTGAGGAGAAAGTCCGGGATTTCCTCTGGGAGAAGTTTACCAGCTCAGATGTTCCTAGTTCTTACAATAGCATGGACACAGATAAGCTGAGTGGACTGTGGAGCCGTATCTCTCATCTTGTGTTGCCTGTTTGGCCTGAAAAGGGCCTCCCTGTTGGGGGATGTGCATAAAAGTTGTTGGAGAGAACGTGGGAAAGAAAGAGGACAGAAAATGCATATTGCAATGGCTGAACAGGGAAGAATTTAGTGCTGAGCAGCATACAGTCCTTTCTGCACAGAGAAATTCCACCAGCTGGTAGGGTTGTTTCTGCTGAAGTAGCTGGGACTTCTCAAAAATTAACTGCAGAATGTAAGCAAGGAACTTGCTGGTTGTTGGTAAGTTGTGTTCAGTGACTCATTCAGGCTTGATGTCCTGGAGCTGGAAGTAAGTATCCACCAGTCATCAGCTGCTGAAACTGCCTTGGTGCACTGTTGGCCTTGCTATAAGGGTCCTTTTCTGGTTGTGCCTAAAGCTGATGTCATGTTTGACAAGCTATTAGGATGCAAAACCATCACCTTCATCTGCCAGAACTGCTTCCTTTTCTTCTAATGTAAGAAAAAACAAAAACATAATAAAAAACATAAACTGAAAATGGTAAAGTAGTAATAGCCTTAGCACAAGCTTTTTATTGATCCATCTGATGACAATATAGATGTCAGCTGTCTCTGGCAACTACTAGAAATGGCAAAATTGCTTGAAAGATTTGTCACTTTGTCACCTTTCAGCAAGCATTTCTTCTTCAAAAGAGCCTGCCACAATCAGTTCTGGAAAGCAAGAAGAGCTAAGGTACAAATAATTGCCTAACGTTAGTAGCACTGATGTCAGTTAAATCATCCCTTGGCACCTCTTTGCTTCACTGCTTCCAGGAATTCTCTGCTCTTTGTCAAAGTTCTGCAAGTCTTAAAATTTGGGGAGTAATGGTAACATGTCAGCCAAGTGTGTACTAAAAACCTGTTACATTTCCTTTCCAAACAAAAGTTTAGGAAAACATAGGTAATTTCTTATTTTAGTAAGATGATTATTTTTGCATCAAGAGAGTTTATTTATTTGTGGTACTTGGTATCCCAAACAATAACTTTTCTTCATGTGTCTGCATATAACCTGCTGCTTACCCTGCAAGCTTCTAGCAAAGAACAGATCTGCAGTGCATGCTTTTAAAATACATGTTTAGAGCGCCTCATGCCAAAAATCCCTCACACCAATCTAAAAACATTTACTTGTTTCTGTTGTTTTTGTGTAAAAAATGAAAAAAAAAAAAAAGAGAATTGCAGCACTTCCATTTCTGTTGCTGTTAGTGCAGCTTGTGAACTATTGGTCCATGTGCATTTGGTTTTATTCAATATGAAGGAATGTGTGAAGACTGCTTTCTGATTCATTGGATGCTTTCTTATAACAGCTGAGAGATTAGTGGCTCTTGGACCCATCCTTTATTCACAAGCCTGTTGTCCTGCAGCAAAAAGTCCTTAACCAGACAAACTTCCTGAGGTGCAGAAGCTTCTGGCTTTTTTTGTGCAAGGAAAGGTTTAGGGTCTTACGTTGGAATGGACCAAAATTACTAAGTATATAAAATAAGAGTTTGAGAGATGTGGTTTCTTAAACCAGAGGTGGATTTGTTCTGACCACTGAGAGCCAGCAATGGGCAGGGCTTTTGATTTTAATGGGAAGAAATATAAGCAGTAAACAGACATGGAAGTGCTGCAATTCTGGATGTTTAAGAATAGCTCAGGAAGGCAAAGATGGCATTTACATTTTGGACATTTCACTGGACAAATGTTTTTAATAAAACAACTGTGACTTATTTCCGAGTGTTTCCTGATAGCCTGTTTGTATATTATGTAAACTATTTTAGTAATCGTTAAAAATAAATACACTTGCTTGTTTTATAAGCTGTTTTAAGATTTGCCCATTGAATTTTAAGTGGTCAAGCTTTTATTTTTTACATATTTGATTGCTCCTTTTACCTTTGAACAAATAGAGGTGCCTAAAAGACAATCTTTAGCAGAATTCGGAACTTTTAAGAAACTTGAGTAGAGTAGTAGACACAGGTCATCTATTTGGTAATATCAGGGCTCTCTTTTAACAGGGAGCATTTCGGGGCTTTCCTCTAACAGGGAACATTTCAGGAAATTAGTAGCTGTGAGGTCTCTATTACTTGGTGTTCTTGTGCTAATTCCTCAGTTCTGATTTCAGCTGGAACTAATGATAAGATACGGTTCACTTGTTTCATTGGTCCGATACAAGAGTCAGCAGCTGACAAAAGGGATGACTTCATTCTTGTTCCATTCTTCACTGTGTGTCCCTGTACCTCTGCTGTTGCAAAATAATGCCCTGTGAACTGACTGGAGGGACAGTCTTAATAAAAACTAGCTTAGAAAAATATAATTAGCAGAATCAGCAACCACAAAAAATAAAAGACCTGAGTTATGACACGAAGACAGGAGATTCCATGGTTTTATACAAATAAAACACGTAATCCAGGTTATGTTCTGTTTCTAAAACTGTCCCCTCTCCTCCCAGTTAGGGGATATTAAAGAGTTATGTTCCCTTGTTTCAAGACAAAATAGGAAGGTGCCTGGAAACTAAAGATTTATGTTCTACCCAATGTTGTGCAAGAAAAAGGAGAATTGCCTTCTTGTTAACTGTAGGTAAAGTGAGGTGTGGTGTTTAGTCAGGAAAAAGAAATCAAAAGCAAGATGCTGTTCACAGTAGTCCCTTCTGGAGGAGGGGAAAGGATCAGGATTAGCAGACTGTTCCCACTGTTAAATAAGAAGATCCTTTTTGTAGCTGTTTGTGGCTTTGTTAATGCAGATCTCATTAAGTAACTCCTCCTCAGCCAGAGGTGAAGAGTAATGTCTGTGGTGCTCACAGGCAGCTGATTAATATCCTCGTCTAATTATTTCATTGCCTGCAGCAAACTTTTGTTTGGAAAACTGATGTTTTCCAAACTGTAGAATACTTTGGCTTTTCTAGAGAAATCTCACTTCTAAAGTTGAACTGTCCCTAGCTGTCAAGAGCTCAGCAAATGGAACAGTCCGTGACAGCAGAAATGTGCTTATCTAGAGGAAAGACATCAGGTCTGGCCTTGGGACTAAGGATGTTTCTTGTTCTGTGTGTGGGTTTACAGCACACAAACTTTGGGGAGAATGTGATTTTTTAGGGAGCTGAACCAGCTACATGCCAATTTGGAGACAAAATTTCCAGCATTCAGCAAATTGGACTGGAAAGCACAGTCAAACTACTCCTTGGGTTGTGAGCAGACACCTGCAGCTGGCGAGAACCCTCTGGTAGGTAGCCAGCCCAGGTGGAAGGTGGCCACTCTTCTGCTACTCTTGTTGCCTTCATGCACCTGGAGGATGGTGAAGGCAGTTGCCTTCAGCAGTGGATGTTGTCAAAGGGTCCTAGAACAATGTGCAGCCCTGTCTACCTTGTCTCTTACGCCCTGCACTGAGTCACCTTGTGCCGAGAGGTGGAGTTTTGAGCACACTAAGCAGGTTCGTTAAAAGAATTAACCTTTCCCTCCCCATTTTTCACACCAATTTTCTGATTTCCACAAATCAGGAAAAAAAAAAGTCATTGCTTTCATAAACTTTTTGTTTTGAAAAATGTTTGGAGTTGTTGATTTAGCTGCTACTGAGTGCAAAAGGCAAGGTGAGCTCCATTTTAAGGGAGGCATGAAAGTATTTGCGGCACCGAAGGCAGCTCTAAGCACCGTCTGTGGTGCGATCAGCACGTTGTGTTTAGGAAAAAAAAGAGTCTGGTTTGGGAGGTGTGTAATGGTCTATCAACAACTTGCCAGGCCCTGTAGCACAGCTGGAAAACCACAAGAGGAAATCGGAAGTGATCTCTGCTATTTTGTGAGCCCAAATCACTCTGAGAACAATTTTTCATGTGTTGTTTCTGCTGCAAAGTTGTAAGAGTATGGAGGAAGGCTGGTGGTGGTGGGGGGTGTTCCTGTACTCTTCACAGCTGTACTGTGTCCTGTTTCATTGTCAGCTCTTGACAGTTGGATTTATAATTGAATGCTTGGACAACCTTGTTCCATGTTCCAACAGGTGGAAGCACCCTTCCCTAAATTCCTCTGGCTTTTGGGAACCACGTCAGTCAAGGAAAAGGAGGGAATCTAAGGGGCCTGAGCTGATCTTTTGGCTGCAATCGCCAGCTGCCCCTTCCTAATTTTAGAAGGGGCATGCAAGAGTAGCATGGAGTGGAAAACTTCCCAAACCTCTCTTAAAGCTGCAATAACCAAATTAGTGTTAAAAAGAGATGGTGGCTCTTTGATTTTAACTTAGGATCTGTCTCCATCCACCACTTCCAGTGCCTGGGCAGTGCTGGCTGCTGTTACCTCTGAGCTTTGCAGCTCAGGAGCAGTTCATCAAGCTGGAGTGTGCTGGGTTCTCTCTTCTCTCTCAGCCACAGCTGTTTGCAGGTAATAAACAGTTCCTTTCTTTCTGGTCTTGGAGAATGTCACCAGGTGATTGCATTTTCTGTAAGGAAGTCTTTCTTTTCTCTTTCCTGATGTTTGCTTCTCAGAGCTTTCTGCCCATTGGCAGAGACTCTTTCAAATAGTAGTCTAAATTTTACAGTGAAATTCCACTGACAGAATAAATAGAAGCCATATAGAAGGAAAAACACTAGACAGACATTGCCTTCTAATTTTGACTGACTGAAAACAAAACTATTTTGCTGTTTGAGAAAATCCTGATGGGATGCCTTGTTTGCCTGAAGATGAAAAGGAGGGGAGCATGAAACTAGATTAACTGCTTCCAAGCAGAAAAAGAGAAACTATGTTTAAAAGCATAATTAAAGAGGTAGTGCATTACAAAAGTGCTGAACAATTTAAATAAGCTGCCAATCCAGCAATATTAAGCAGTAAATTTAAGCAAACACTAAGTGATGACAGGGAATGTACTATTTTAATTTGCCCTAGTCTGCAAGCAGGGCTCCCATGCACTGTAGTAATATTGCTTTCATTGACTGAAATTGTCATCATAATTATTATTACTTACAGTCTTCTCCTGCATTTGGGAGGAATAGGTTTGCTCTTTGAGGACTCTGGAAGGAACTAGGCTCCACTTATGACTTTTTCCCATTGGAGCTGTGCTTGTCTTTGGGTGTTCATGTATTTCTTTAT